CGTTTTAGAGGTAGGAGTTCCACTTCCCTTCATTGGGCCCTAGATGTGTGTGTGTGTGTTGTGCACTATAGACTCCAGTCTTCTAACTGTTGCCTTCTGAGCAGTCACTTCCTTTTCATAGAGTCTGTCTCGAAGCTTGGCAGTGTCACAAACTCATACAATATAACACACGTTGTATGTTTGCACTCGTGCGCAGCAGCCAATCACGTTATGGAATGCTCCATGTTTCCCGTGCCTTGACCAATTTCGTTGTTCCGCAGACCTTCTCGGCCAAAGACAATTTGCCAACGGTCCAGCTACTGGCGCAGCGCACTCCCGCGTTTGTATATGTGCCCCGGTGGGGAAGAGCATGTCGCTGGCAGAATCACCGTGCGCAAAGAGAGCCAGAGTGCAGCAGTTGCAGCTGCTGTTGCAAGAAAACAGGCGTGAGCTGGCGCAGTGCCGGCAGCGTGTGGCGAGGTGGGCGGCCAAACGTGGTAATTTAGGCTTGACTTCAGCAGGACAAAAGGCAGTACTTGCTTGCTATTGCTTGTCAAACTACAACAGCGCCATTGCCACCAAGCTTGCGCAGCAACTCAGCGACTTGGAGAGATCTTCCCCCCAGTTTCCGTCAGAACCATTGGTCCAATCTCTGTTTCGAGAGACAAACCTTGGAGAGCTCCTGCGGCTGCACAGCGACGATGATGATTGGACAAAAGCCAGAAATGTGGCCGTTCGCTTTGTGGCAGAGGTGAAGACGGTGGACTATGTCCACTCGCAAAACAGTCTCCATGGTGTCGCGCCAACTTCGGCTGAGGTTTTTGCGCATTTTGCGCAGACACGCTCGGGCGGTTTACCGGAGGTACTCCCAAGCCGCGACTATATCAAGAAGTGGGCTGCTGGTTGGCGAAAACGCTTTGGCATCCGAAGGGCGGCCTTGCCCATGGCCATTCCAGCAGATGCACCGAGCTTGCGGGCAAAGGTGCTTCGAGTGGTGTCAGTATAGGTGGTCAAACCGGTCAAACCAAGGGGCCAAAAATGGGACCGAAAAATGGACCTGAAACAAGGTCCGCCTTGTGAAAAATTGTTTTCGGTTGCGAGGCAGCTTTGGGGACAGTTTTTGGCCCCGGATTCTTTTTTGAGGGTGTGCTTTGAATTAGAATGAATGGCTCGGAGGTGAAATGCTTCTGGAAGATGCTGGCGTTTCAGCGTGGTCCAGAGGCTTGTGATGGTCGTGAGATTTTGTATCTCAATGTGGATGAAACAAGTGTGCCCTACACTGCACGACCTGCTATTGGTTGTGTGATCAACCGCAAGCAGTACAAGGGCTCCGGCCTCCCAGCCGTGCCCCACGCCAAAATCCAGCCTGCCGGCAGGCGAGGTACTTTTACGTACTGCGCTGTTATTGCTTCAAATACAGGAATTCAACCAGCACTACCCCACTTTCTTGTGAGCAATGGCACCAGGCTGAGCAGCAAGGTAGTGAAGGCCTTCAAGTGCTTGCCGAAGACCCAATTGCAAGTGCTTCGCCGGAAGAGTGCGTGGGTTACCAGTGATTTGATGATCGCAATCTTGCAAGAAGTGGCAAAAGAATTAGAACCGTTTTTGCATCAATTTAGGCCGGTATTGCTCTTGGACGGGGCGCCAGCTCACGTTTCAGAGGCAGTCATGCGTGCTGCAAGAAAGTTGAACATTTCGCTGGTATATATTCCATGTGGAGCAACTAGCCTGTGCCAGCCTTTGGACGTCTATGCGTTCTCCAGCTTCAAGCAATACCTCCGCCAGAAATACCACGAGCACAGGCAGACAGCCACTGATGGCTTGCCATCGACTTTAGCGTGGCTGTGGCAATTAGGCCAGGCGCCAAGGCAATTTTTTTGTTCCAAGTCTTGGGCCAAATGTTTCCGCGGAGTTGGGGCCAGTGGCAAAGCCAGCGACCTCCACTCTGTACTTGCCTCTTTCATGGAGCACCCTACATGTCTCCCTGCTTCATCCAAGCCAACGTCAGAGGACGTTCGGCTGATATGGCCGCAGAACCGTCGCATGAAATACGCATATGCGTGTTTGTATGATGGTGAAGACTGAGGAAGCACCATGCAAAAAAGTGCCCGTGCAGTCAATTCTTCGAGGGGTGCAACTGCTGAACTTGGAAGACGGTCCATTTTTCGGTTTGGAAATTCGCGCCGTCGGGCGCCGTCGGTGCCCGTCCGTGGGGCAGTACATGTTGCTCAAGCACTCGTCCCCAATATTTATATATTATATAGACACTCCCGACTGCCATGTCTGACGCAGCCGCTGATGAAGAAGCAACAGCAGCAGCAGCTCCGGCTGCGAGGCGCCCCGCCATCATATATCTGTTGGTTCGCACCGCCGGCACGCACATAGTACGCTGATCATGTTTGGGAGCGCCCACAAGCAACGTGATTTTGTTTGGGCCGCATCTGGACATTAATGTTTATCATTTTTGGAAAGGCTATACTTGGCACCAGACTGGTTCAGACCTCCAACCACTTCCTGATGAATTTAAGTCGTGAGGCACCCAGCCGCCGATCGGCTGGTTTCGCTCAAAACACAGCGGCAGAACCTGAAGCGGCAGCTCCAGCAAGCGAACCGTGAGGGTCGCAATGAGGCGACCGGCGCATGATCCACATGTATTGTTGAAATTTGATGCAGTATTGTGTTGCTTGTGCTTCCGACTTGCGCGCGGCGCGACTCATTCTGGCGCACATGCAGGAGAAAAAGCGACAGAGACTCATGCGGCGCGCTGGCAAGTTGAGCTCTGCTGATCTCACCTGGCTGCTGGCGCGTCGAGTGCAATCTGAGCAGTCTGAGCAGATGTCCACATAGCTATATTGCAGGGCACATTGGCAGTGTTTGGGGAAAGAGAGACTTGTGCCCATGTGCTAGCTTTTGTTGACAGCTAAGCTGACAACTGCTGAGCGGGGGCTGTCAGAGCAACCTTGCTGAAGTGGCCGTGCTCGCAGAAGCCGGCGCAAGCGATAAATATGTCACCTGTCACCCACGTGCTAGCTTTTTGTTTACAGCTAAGCTGACAACTGCTGAGCGAGGGCTGTAAGAGCAACCTTGCCGAACTGGCCGTGCTCGCAAAAGCTGGCGTATGCTGGGCTAGAGTCCCTCACATCTCTCCCTCTCTCTCTGTCTAGGCTTGCTAGTCCAGGTTTGTCGTGCCCGCAGTACCCTGCAGCAGCTGAGGCAGATAATATGAGCTCCTCAAAGAGATAGTGAGATGTTTGATGTTGACATACTATTACCGTGTAATATGATGCGTCAACTACAGGGTTGGCCCAATAAAGAAACATGTGACGCAAATTGTTTGGTTGCGTGCGGTTGCCCTTGCCTTGTTACCGGGGTTTATGTTTTGGACCACCTCCAGAAGCAGTTTTCGGAAACCCTTCGGTCATTCTTGCTCTGGATTGCAGCCAGGAAGCGGAACAACTTTGAAAGGAAAAACGGTATCACAGAAATTAAAGACAAGCAGACCACAAGATGATAGCAAAACCACAATCTGACCCTGCCAAGACTGTGGACTTTGTTGCTCCTAGTGCTTTCAAGGACCCTTCTCAACATTCTGTTTTGTTACACTTTTCGAGCAAATGACCTTGCTCAACGTTTGCTTCGGTTGCTAATGGCAACGTTATGTTGCGTTGTGGATGTAGCGCTTTTCAATTGTTGGTTTCGCCGCTCCATGTCATTCGGTGGCTGATGCGCCAGCGGCTGATGCGCGGCGCCTTCTTCGACTTCGAGCTCTTCATCCGCGGTCAGGTGGCCGCTCGGCCTGTGGGGTGACGCGGGCTCCTGGCCTTACTACTAGGAGCACGGACGCTACTAGGGGCTCCTGGCCTTATTACTAGGAGCAAGGACGCTACTAGGGACTCTTGGCCTTACTTTCAGGACGCTAGTAGGGGGCTCCTGGCCTTGTTACTAGGAGCAAGGACTCCTGGCCTTGCTACTGGCCTTCTTAGGGGCTCCTGGCCACATTGCGAGGAGCGAGGACGCTACTCGGCGCTCCTGGGCTTACTACTGCGTCGCGCGCTCGTCGGTTTGCAGGTGCCTTCTTCGACTTCAAGCTCTTCATCCGTGGTCGTGTCAACCAGCCAAGGTGGCCGCTCGGCCTGTTGGGTGACGCGGGCTCCTGGCCTTATACTAGGAGCAAGGACGCTAGTAGGGGCTCCTGGCCTTACTCTGGTCTTATTACTAGTTACTAGGAGCAAGGACGCTACTAGGGGCTCCAGGCCTTACTACTAGGAGCAAGGACGCCACTAGGCACATGACTAGGAACGAGGACGCTACTCGGCGCTCCTGGCCTTACTACCGCGGTCGCTCGCTCGTCGGTATGCAGGTGCCTTCTTCGACTTCGAGCTCTTCGCCCGTGGTCGTATCAACCGGCCACGTGGCCGCTCGGCCTGTCGGGTGACGCGGGCTCCTGGCCTTGCTACTAGGAGCAAGGGGCTCCTGGCCTTATCGCTAGGAGCGAGGACGCTACTAGGGGCTCCTGGCCTTACTACTAGGAGTAAGGATGCTACTAGGGGCTCTGCCTTATTACTAGGAGCAAGGATGCTACTAGGGGCTCCTGGCCTGACTACTAGGAGCAAGGACGCTACTAGGGGGTCCTGGCCTTACTACTAGGAGCAAGGATGCTACTTCCTGCCTTACTACTATAGGGGCAAGGACGCTACTAGGGGCTCCTGGGGTGGGCGTGTTGGCGATGCCTTCAGTGCATCCCTTATTTAGGTTCAGATGTCCACATGCTTTCTGCGTTCGGCTGCTGGGACGATTGATATGCACACATGGATCCAAACTTTCATTTGTGTTTAACCTCGGCCTTCTCAGTGCCGTGCACTGTCCGCATTTCGGGTGATATTTTGGAAGTTGCATTCGAGCGTGCTGTCGCGCGCCGGTGTGACCTCAGGAACAGCTGCTTGGAAGCCGTCGCCTTGCTGAGCGAACCTGCAGGCTTTGACCTTCGGCTTGGACCTTGCGGCGTTTGTCATGCAGTTGGGCGACGCGGTGGGTGGGATGTCGGTGATGAGTGCATCCCCTATTTTACATTTATTAGATGTCTCCATGCTTTTCTATTTTCGGCTGCTGGGGCGATTGATATGCACACATGGATCCAATCTTTCATTCGTGTTAACCTCGCCCTTCTCAGTGCCGTGAGCTGCCCGTATTTCAGTGATAATTTTGGAAGTTGCATTTGGGCGTGCTGTCGCGCGCCGGTGTGACCTCAGGAACAGGCTGCTTGGAAGCCGTCGCCTTGCAGAGCAAACCTGCAGGCTTTGACCTTCGGCTTGGACCTTGCGGCGTTTGTCATGCAGGTGGCCGCTCGGCGTGTTGGGCGACGCGGTGGGGCATGTTGGCGTTGCCTTCAGTGTTAGATACCCCCATGGTTTCGGTTTTCGGCTGCTGGGGTCCGATTGATATGCACACATGGATCCAAACTTTCATTCGCATTAACCTCGGCCTTCTCAGTGCCGTGCGGCGTCCGCACTTTGGGGGAGTTTGGAAGTTGCGTTCGAGCGTGCTTTTGCGCGCCGGGCGACCTCAGGAACAGAGCTTGGAAGCCGTCACCTTGCTGAACCTCTGTCTGATTCGATCATCATGTGGCTCAGTCACAACATATTGAAATGATCAGCTCCATCTCAAAACAGAGAACTTCCATTTTTCACTCAATAGTCGAAGAGGAACCGCAGTGTCACAAGTGATGTGTAGAAAATGCAAAAACACACTCATTTCCTTTAACCTCTTGCATAGTGTCCCATAGGTACCGTCAATGCGTGCGCTACTTGTGGAATCAGTTTTCGTGGCACGCACAGGGGACCTCTTTGCGTGGCATGCGCAGCATTTGGTGAACCTCTGATTCGATTTTTCGGGGCAGGCGCAGCGTTTGTTAAACTTCTAGCTCCACTTTTCGCGGCAGGTGCAGCATTTGGTGAACCTCTGTTTCCATTTTTTGCGGCAAGCGCAGCATTTGGTAAGCTTCTAGTTCCACTTTTCGTGGCAGGCGCAGCATTTGTTGAACCTCTGATTCGATTTTTCGGGGCAGGCGCAGCGTTTGGTAAACTTTAGTTCCACTTTTCGTGGCAGGCGCAGCTTTTGGTGAACCTCTGTTGCCATTTGTCGTGGCAGGCGCAGCATTTAGTGAACTTCTTGTTCCATTTTTCGTGGCAAGCACAGCATTTCTTAAACTTCTAGTTCGATTTTTGGTGGCAGGCGCAGCGTTTGGTGAAAACCTGCTTTCATGTTTCGTGGCCGGCGCACGGAATTTGAAGCTCCAGGTGGCCCAACGTGTGGCCAGACGCTGAATCGTAACGTTGGAATCCAACGTTATGCTCGTTTTACGTGGCAGGCGTGGGACAAAAGTCGAAATCGTAACGTTGGACGCGTTTGAAAAAGATTATAGTAATTCTCTTTTTTGAACCGAGTCCAACGTTATGATTTGCACTTTTTTGTGAAACTGTCGCCGAAAACGGATCGTAACGTTGGATTCCAACGTTATGATTTGCGTTTTCGTGTGGGGAGTACTCCGATTTTGGCCGCGCTGGCTGTGCTGAAAGTGGAGATTTCGTGGCAGGCGCAGCGCTTTGTGAACCTCGAGGTGCCGATGTCGTGGCAGGCGCAGGGCTTTGTGAACCTCCAGGTGCAGATTTCGTGGCAGGCGCAGCGCTTTCTGAACGTCCAAGTGGAGATTTCGTGGCAGGCGCAGCGCTTTGTGCACCTGAAAGTGCAGATTTCGTGGCAGGCGCAGCGCTTTGTACACCTCGAAGTGCAGATTTCATGGCAGGCACAGCATTTTGGGAACCTCGAAGTTCGAAGTGGAGATTTCGTGAACCTGAAAGTGCAGATTTCGCAGGAGGGGCAGCATTTTGAGAACCTCGAAGTGCAGAGTTCGTGGCAGTCGCAGCACTTTGTCAACCTCTAAGTGCAGATTTCGTAGGAGGGGCAGCGTCTTGTGAACCTCGAAGTGCAGATTTCATGGCAGGCGCAGCACTTTATGAACCTCGAAGTGCAGGTTTTGTGGCAGGCGCAGCGTTTGGTGAACCTTTGCTTTCATTTTTCGTGGAAGGCGCAAGCTTTGGCGCACTTTTAGTTTACTCAAACTGTGGTTCCTGCCAAACAAAACGCACCAAGTTTAGGACTCTATGATGGTAGTTGTATATAACGCACGCAACTGTAAATCATCACTAATCATGTCCAAGGCCATGGCCACGTCGAAGTCCTCCGGATCCGCTTCGCCCGCTTCGTCCTCTTCGTCCTCTTCATCAAGCCATGAGGAGGAAAAACCATCTGTGACTTTGGGCAACAGCGACACTTCCACAGAGGCTGAGAATGCACCAGCTAAAGCGAGGGCATATGCTGGTATGTTTACTTGGCCATGTCCGCGGCATTTTTTCCAAGACTTGGAAGATCGACGAGCAGCAAAGGTCCTTAAGCCTTGTGATGTTTCCAAGGAGAAACTGTTGGAGGCCTTCACAAAAGCGCTGAAGAGCAAAGGTTACTTGCACAATCTTGTGAAGGCTGCCGTGGCGGATGAACCGCACAAGCATTACCAGCCCGATGGTGCTTCTCGGGAAAGACACAAACACCTCATCTTTCTGTTTCGAGCTCCGTTTGTGCACGCTGGCGTTCGCAAGCTGTTGGCCGAAGAGTTTGAGTACCATGGATTCTTCACATTTCATCGCGCGGGCTGGTGCGCCTATCTGGATTACCTGATGATGGAGAGCGCAAAGAAACCAGCGCATGATTTAGACCGTGACCTTGTGTTTTATCCGTCAAGTTACACCAAGCAGAAAGCTGATGGCGAGCTTGCAGGGATGTCCTCGCAGGTGGCTGGCAGAAAGAAGAATGAGGGGCTGCAGAAAGGTCCGTCGGAGGCCTTGCAGAAACGACGCCGGCGCATGTCTTTTAGCGAGCTTACAGACTTTGTTGTCGAAAGGAAGATTTCAACAGTGGCAGAGCTATGGAAGGCCTGGCACACATACAATCTGGAGACTGTTTTCCATCAAGCGTAATATCAGTCTTAGATAAGCATCCTCCTTGGTAGAAACAACGCGGTTGGAACGACAAGGTGCATCATAGGCAGTCCAATGTTTGGTCCAATCACTTCGTTGGGGATGCCGCGGGTTTTGTGGTCATGCCCAAAGTGCTTTGTTAATAATTCCCTCTCATCGCCAGGCCGCCAAAGAGGAAAAGATGCGTGGCAACTCTTTGATTTGGGACCATGTGGGGCAGCTTCGGGATCCAGCTGCGGAAGTGCAGAAAATCTTGGCTGCGTGGCACCGACCTGAAACCTTGGGGGCTTCAACTCTTATCACCTCACCACGCTTTCCTTTGGAGCACTTTGATGTACCTCCACGGGTCCTGCAGTGGAAGGAGACCCAATCCCTCACCCATACCTTAATCCTGCGTGGTCCGGGAAGACTGAAATGGCTATATCCGTGCTTTTGTCCACATGCCGCGCTGGCATCCACTTTGTCAGCAAGCTTGATCAGATGCATAAGATCACCGTGCACCCAGGTGAGGGACTTGTTGTCGATGAGGCTTGTTTCAGGACAGTGAGCATTGATGATGCGAAAGCTTGGTGCGATGTGACTCACGCACGCGATGTGCACAACCGTTGCTCTGACGGACACATTCCAGCGCAAACGCCAAGGATCTTCACTACAAACCATGAAGTCCCACAGTTTTGGCCCCCAGAGTATTTTCATTCCAGTCATCAGGCTGCAATTGATCGGAGAACTGTTTGGGTTGACTGCCCAAACAAGCTGTTCAAGGACAGGGAAGCAACGTGCAAGGGTAACAACGTAACGTTACGAAGCGCCATCCAAGGGAGGTGTATTGCCCCCCAAAAGTGTGTAACGCAGGTGGTCAGCGAGGTTCATTGAATCTCCTTTGAATGGCCCTTCCCAACGTTATGTTTTGGTTGTTGGAAATTCCAAGTTGGAAAGTGTTTTTCTGGAATGCCTGGCCCTTCGCAACTTTACTTTTTTGCTGGAATGGCCCTTCTCAAGGTTGAGTTTTTTGTTACTGAAATTGCTTCCCACACTGTGCGGTGTTACATCTGATGTTTTGTCGCTGAGGCTATATTTCCAACATTGTGCACTGTTAAATCTTGTGCTTTGTTCATGTTCCGTTTCCCTTCACAACTGCATTCCCAACTGGCGCTTGATCTTGGGCTGGGTATTCTCGGATTACCTGGCAAGGAGCCACAGGCTGATTCGGACGCCTGTGCATCCCATATGATCTCAGATACACCAGTGGCTGCAGCGGCTGCGATCTTGCGGCCAGATCAGGAGCCACAGGGTGAGTCGTCCGGAGCGGACGCCTTCAAGGCCCATAGGATCTCAGAGACAGCAGCGGCTGCAGCGGAAGATCTCTTGTGGCCGGATGACGATGAACTCAACGAGATGATGGAAGATTCATTTGATTTTTGAATTTCTGAACAGTGTATTCATATGCCAATTGCAGCATCTATCGTCTATCAACAGACGCCGAAGGCGCTACGCGAGAAAAGAATAGTGGTATTGACGTGAGGGCGCAATTGTGGGATGGTGGACCCGTATTTGTGATGTACTACAATCGTAGAAGTAGTTTTACCTGACACCGGTTCAGGGTTTCACCTCCCACAACCCCACTCAAGTCTGGTGGACACAATGTGAGAAAACCATACACTTTGACATTGGGTTTTTTTTACCAGGGGATATATCTGGGACCCAACCGACACCATCGCGAGGTGTAGAAATTGCGGTTTGTAGATGAGGTTCCTTTGGTGCTTCAAATTTGAGGAGACCACCGATTCTGGTTCAAAGGAAGACAACCGGGCTATCGGATCGTGTTGCTGAGGTGCGGCCATTGCCCCCCATTCATTCCATGAGTCGAGCTGTGCAGTGGAAACAAAGAACGCCGGGGTGGCACACCAAACTGGGACGTTTTAGAGGTAGGAGTTCCACTTCCCTTCATTGGGCCCTAGATGT